TATACATATATATATGATACACCAATTTTCACTTAGTGTTTGGGTTATATAAATCACTGTACTGTCAAGACCTTTGATTTAGAATCTTCTCCATATTAAATGATGAGCCACTTCATCAACGAAATGCAGAAAACTTGCTCATTGTGTGGTTTTAACAGTACTTTTAAAATTGTACTTTTTCAAAGAGCAACAAAAGTGTCAGCATGTCTCATTCTCTGCCCACGCCTCTGTCATTCACACGTCGAGTGTGTGTCCATAGAGGTACAGTGTCCACATTAATCCAGTTGCAGGCTGGGCAGCATTAAAGGTGGCAGTCCTACAACTGTCCCATGTTGCTGTATGTCATGGTAATGAGTGCCGAATTGGGGCTAAAAATGATAAAGGCACCAAAATGTCAATTAATGCTGTGGTTCCAATGATGCTATGGCAGTAAATATAACTGAACTGGTATTGTTGTGCTGCTCACTTTTTTATCTTGCGTCTAGTTTCTGCTGAAGCTTGTTCAGTGCTTGTTTTTAAAGGGCCAAGCAGCTCTAGTAGTACTGTGGAGTACAGTGTGGACCTATTGCTGGCTCCAGTGTTGTTTAGTGATACAGTCTGCTCTGTTGTTCAGACATGCTACGTGTGTGAACATACATCCACCATTTTCTCCAAGATCTAATGATGTGTGTAATTGATAAACACACCACAGATTGTCTTCTCAAACACTGACACTGGTTATTGAGAGAACAGCTGACAACAACCGTTCACTTATCACATAGAGCAAATGGTGGGTGTCAGCTGTTCATGTTCTTCTACCAACCCTGCTCTAGATGTGTTATCCAGGCTCAATGTCTGAGAGAGTTAAATAAATGTCAAGAATTAAACTATTGCATTGAAACAAGAATGTTCTTGTTTGTGAAGTTTGCATTAAGTTGCAGAAATGGACAGTTTTAACCTCTGTTGCATTTGTGTCTCATTGTTTATGAACACTCTTACGTCTTACTTTAACTGTACTTTAACTGTGCTAACTTTTACTATATATAGGTATATAAACTCATATGTTTTCACCTGATCTGTTCTTGTCTGTCCTTCTAGTAGTTGTTTATAGTTATTCCTTTTGTAAAGACAAACTTTTGTTTCCAAAATTTGTGACACAATTAATTTACACTGTATATTGTGTACATTCAATGAAAATCAAATAACGTGGGGTGTAATTTTTGAGTCCAGTTGACCAAAAGTGTTGGACATTTAGAGAGTTCATTGTCTGAATGTCTTTTCCTTCTGCAGGTGTTTGTGTGTCTTTGGAAGGGCTGTAAGGTCTATAACACTCCCTCCACCAGTCAGAGTTGGCTCCAGAGACACATGCTGACACACAGTGGAGATAAACCCTTCAAGGTAAACACAGTTTCAGTTTAGTCACATATTAATTCAAGTGATGACCATTGTTAAGCTTGCTTTTTTTTAAAAAGCAAGCTTAACAATAACTAATAATAGTTAACTTATAATAAATTTAAATAAAG